AGCCCAATTGCTCAATTACCCTCATTATTCAACGATTTGCGGTGTGTACAGAGCTTCAAGAGCTCTGGGTGTACAAGAAAGTGGGCCTGGGGGGGTCAGGTTGTGTGTAATTATTGCAATCTGGCTAACTGAGCAATTCGTACTCTTCAGTTACCCGAGTTACTCAAATTACCCTAATTGCTCAAGATTTCCGGGTAGGTGTGGATCTCCATACGCTATGACAGTGGAAGGGGCTCACCCTAAGGACTCAGATTACTGCAATTGACTAATTGAAGCAATCCACCCTTGTTCTCTATGTATGCACACTGTTATGTCTGTACAGCACGTCTGACATCCGCAAACTGCGCACAGCCCGGTACTCTTGGCCACTATCCATTGCACTTGGCCATTTGCATCAAGATACAAAAGCCTCTCAAGCACCTACATTTAAACCCTAACACGAAAGAATGACACGCTCCGCACCCTTACCCACCCTAACCACCAAAGTAACCCCAACCATCCCTAATAGCCCCGTTCTTAGAAGCCTGGGGCCCCCAACACAGAAAACCCTAATACAAAAAGTGACACGCTCCACACCCGTACCCACCCTAACCACCAAACTAACCCCATCTGTCCTTCGAGTGCGTACTGCATACCTTAATGTACCAGCACCGGCTGCTTTTGACCTAGGATACTCTTCAAACCCCCTCCCGTCCCTTTGATAGCGTCCTAGACGTCATGATCGTAGTTAGCGTTACGCGTTACTTTTCCGTTTTCCACCAGAATCCACCAGGGGTCGTTTTAGCGTCCCCCTACAACGGCCAGGGTCCGAGTCTCACCTGGTGATGACGAACCTGGTAACCCCGGCTGCACGCGCGGGTCCCCTCCAGTCGTGACAGCAGGGCTCCGTAGTGGGGCCGCCTTGGGTGTTTTGAACCCAGGTGGCGTCACTGGAGTCTGTGTTGGGGCCGGGATTGTCGCTGCTGCTGGCCTAGGCACGCGTGGTGGCTGGGGCGCAACCACGACTCTTGGAATGGCGGCTGCAAGCAGTCCGCCCGCTCGAATAAAGGCACGTCCCTGCTTGAACGCTTGCGCCAGATTGGCCAGAGTTGACTTCGCCAAGTCGTCTCGGCCCCGCGCTGGTTCCACTGCCCTCTTCTCCTGTTCTGCTACCAAGCGCCGTGCGCTGGCCAGTGCGGCATCTGCAAGGCGCACAAAGATATCGCGCATGGTCAAGAAACCGGCCATCTCACAGTTGCGCAGGGCCCAGGCCAAGTATTTCCACAGACATGACTGCGGCCACCTGTCGGCCTGGTCCAAAATCACCTGGAGATTGACCAATCCGTGACCCAGATAACGCAACTCAGTGCCAATTCCGTTTACGTTCCCCCTGACAAGATACTCAGACCGCCATTGCAACCACCACCAAAGTTCGGCAAGCAGCATGCACGCCGTACTGGTTGGGCCGCTTAGTGTCTTTGTCGCGTCAATCAGGCCGTGGGCAAGCTCCAACACATACTGCATCAAAGCCAACCCGTGCTCAACCTCAAGTGATGTGTGCTCAGCAGTTCCAACAACCTCAGCTGGCGCTAGGTTCAGGGGCAAGAGAGGAAGTTCATTGAGCTCTTTTAACAGGAACAACCGCCGTGACCCCAGAGCTTTGTACTGGCCAGGCGTCAGCAAGTCACCCGTTCTCAAAAAGACTCCATGTCTCAATGCTGGGATCAAGCAGTGCGCTACGGATTGCGCGCGCCTGTTTGTCCTGAGCACTATCTGTGCAACTCGGTTCCAACTCTCCCCAAGTGGGGTAATTCTCACGGCCTTGGCGCGCACGGTTGCAGGCAAGCCTTAGGGGCAATATCCTTGTATTCCCCCAACAACTCACCTCCCTCAATCACGATCGGCGGCTCTGCAAACGGATCCACCGTTCCAGGCCAGCCTCGATGTGGGCCCCAGTTCCATGTCAGTCGCCACGCCTTTCTCCAACTCTGCATGAGCTGATGGACCGGTTAGTGACGTGTCGGGCACTTTACCAAGGGTGTCTGTGTGATGGATGGCCAGCTATATGCGAAGTGCTGGCTGACACGATCAGCAACCATGTGCGGAAACCATGGAAGCAGGCGTTCTCAAGAAATGGCGGAGATCATAAAAATTGTCGTCTTTCTGCCCAAGACAACTTTTGTCCTCTTGTTGGACAAGTCCCTCAGGAGATCTTTTAAGATTCCAGAGTCTTGTTTATGCGTGCGTTCAGTCAATCACGAATCGTAGAGAGGCAGACTTGGGCAAAGCCCATGGCTGCGTCTAGTCATCTCCATGGCGTACTTCCAGCGTGGCAAAGAGCATACGTCTGAGTTCAAAGTAGAGCGTCCTGCGCCATGCCAAGCAATCCTGGTCATGCAAGAGACTTGCTAGTCTAGTAGCTCTACTTATACTGGTGTCGACATATCCAATAATAAGTGTTATCGAATATTACTTCGACACTTGCCACGTGTCACTGTTAGAAGTCGTTGACTCTCTAGGAGTCAGCCGACAGCTTATCAACGGTCGAGATCGTAGAGACTCTGAGTTAGTTAGATCGGACGGTAGATTGCAGCCTAGACTTCGGACCTGTGACTTATACTGGGGCAGACTCAGGACAGTGACTAGACTTGCTTGTGACAGGCTGCTTTACTGGATCAAGAAGAAGATAAACATTGTGATATGAATCATTCTGAGAAAAGTGCTTAGAAGAAGAGAGGCGCTTTGGTGTAGGGCGTTCAGCCCCGGTGAACTCAGAATGTGTGGATGTGGGACTGCGCATGAGAAGCTCGATGGCGTTTTTGGTGCTTGTGTTATGCACATGAGGGGTGAATCACAATAGGTTATGGGCCCACGTAACGCAACCCTAATTTCAGAGGAATGAAGGGAAACGTGGAAGAAAGGAGAAGGGAATAAGTCTCCTTTGGTGAGGGCTTGAGCAAACTCTAAAAGTGTTCTCAATGGCGGGTGTTGACAAACTCTCCTCGGCGGTGCCGAAGTTCAAGGGAGAGAATTGGGGAGTATGGAAAGACAAGATCCAATCCCTCTTAGAGTTCAATGGGCTGTTTGTGGCAATTGAAGAGCCTGACACGGAAGAAGGGCGGAAGGCTTCCACAAAAGCAAAGGCATTGATCAAGTGTCCGTTGAGGATGCATTTCTGAAGCTCATTGCGGGGGAGACCACAGCAGCAGAGGCATGGAAGAATCTGAAGCAGAACTTCAAGAAAACCAGCAATGCAAGGGTGGTCCAGCTCACGGGGAAGCTGACCAGTATGAAGCTGGGAGAAAAGCAGAGCATTGCCGAGTATTTGGGGGAGTTTCGAGAGATCAAGGTAGATCTGGAGGCGGCAGGGCAGACCATCTCAGATCTGCAGTTGACGGTGCATTGCCTTGAAGGGGCTGCCTAAGGAGTACGAGACTCTCAGAGAGATCCTAGAGGCGGGAGACGATGAGATGAGCCTGGACATGGCGCAGCCAAAGCTGATGCAGCGGGAGCAGAGGCTGCAAGGTGAGAGCAAGCCTCCGCCTGCGGAGAGTGCAGATGTGGGGCAGGCGTCGGCCTTTGTGGCCAAGCACATGCACTATGGGAGCTCACGAGGGAGCAAGGGCAGCTCACGGGAGCACGGAGGTAGCTCCGAGTCAGACTCGCGGAGTTGTTACCGGTGTGGCGAGACCGGCCACATAAAGATGAACTGCAAGCACCGCAATGCGGACTGCGAAAATTGCGGCAAGCGGGGACACTTAAAGGCAGTGTGCAGGCAGCCGGCAGGGAGAGCCGAACGGGCATACACAGTCAAGGAGGGAGCAGACGTGCGCGGCGTGGCCTTCACAGCGTGGCAGGGTAGCGCTGGAGCACAGACGGGGGTTTGGCTGGTAGATTCTGGCAGCACGCAGCACATTACGGGTGATCGGAGCAAGTTTGTGAGCTACACGAAGCTCGGACAGCCGGAGGTGATTGAGGGGATTGGGGGAGAGCCCCTGACAGCGGTCGAAGTTGGGGTGGTCGAGCTGCAGTGCATGAACCCCAAGCGGAGTGGGCACCGTGACGTTGTACGAGGTGAGGCACGTGCCCAAGGCGAGGGCAAACTTCTTTGCTCTGAGACGAGCAGCAGATGCGGGGGCGAGGGTGACCATTGAGGGGCGGGTCACTCAGTTTGAGCTTGGAGGAGTAGTGTGCATGGAGGCGGAGGAACGGTCTTTGGGAGATTGCAACGGCCGGAGCAAAGCCGGTAGAGGGGGTGTGGGTCTTTGACGAACCCCCCCGATATTCGATGGACGGAGCGAAGAAGGCCCCGGCGGCGGCGCAAAAGAAGGCGCAAGCGGAAAGCGTGAAGGAAAAACGGGAGGAGCTCGTGGAGATTGAGCTCGAGTTTGACGAGGCCGGAGAAGAGGCTCAAGCGGAGAAAGCAAAGAACGGGGCAACGGGGGAGCCGATAGCGAAGACCCCGGCAAACAAGGCGACGGGAAAGAAGAGGGGAACCGGGGCGGCGGCAACGGAAGCCGTGGAGATCGACGAGATTGACCTCCGGGGGAGCAACTCGGAGAACGAGAAGACACCGGAGAAGAACGACAAGCGGCGCTATCCGGAAAGAGTCCGGAAGCCGGCGACTTGGCTCGAGGCGGCTAAGGGGACGGGAAGCGCGGAGAAGGGCTGAAAGCATGTCGGCTAAGGGGGAGTGTTAGAAGTCGTTGACTCACTAGGAGTCAGCCGACAGCTTATCAACGGTTGAGATCGTAGAGACTCTGAGTTAGTTAGATCGGACGGTAGATTGCAGCCTAGAGCTCGGACCTGTGACTTATACTGGCGCAGACTCAGGACAGTGACTAGACTTGCTTGGGACAGGCTGCTTTGCTGGATCAAGAGGAAGATGAACATTGTGATATGAATCATTTCGAGAAAAGTGCTTAGGAGAAGAGAGGCGCTTCGGTGTAGGGCGTTCAGCCCCGGTGAACTCAGAACGTGTGGATGTGGTGACTGCGCATGAGAAGCTCGATGGCGTTTTTGGTGCTTGTGTTATGCACATGAGGGGTGAATCACAACTGTCACAACACGACAGTGGACTTCACTTGCCACATGTCACTAGGTGACAGCGTACTTAACCTCGTGCGTTAAAGCGGTTAGACTTAACCATAGCTCAAACGTCACAATGCCCCGTTACCCTTCTTCAGATTGTTTTACTTCCCCTGAGGCCAGGAAACTAAACAGAGCACACGTCACAAAGAGACAACTACTACACTTTCGACTACAATGGCCAAAAACTACTACTCCTACACAAAGAGACAACCACTCTTTATGTTGCCGTGGGGAGCACAAATATCTCTATCTGTCTAGCTTTGACGATGTACTAAGCAGAAAGGACGCTCCAAGCCCTGCCTGTCGTTCTACCTGTCTTCTCCAATAATCCGCCACTGCTTCTGGCGCATTCACGACATATCTCTCGGGCTCCCAGGAGTTATGCTCGGGTCCATAACCCTTCCAGGCCACGAGATAAGACGCTCGAGGATGACGTCGCCCTCGGAATCGATGATGTAATATCGAATCCACCTCGTACTCTAGAACACCTTCCATCTCAATTGGAAGCGGTGGGGGTTGTACTCGACCGTCAGCCCTGTACGGCTCAAGAAGAACACGTGAAACACAGGATGGATACGCCAACCCGGATTCATCTTCAACTTATACGCGACGGGACCCACAACTTGCACGACTTTCAATGGATCAATCCATTTTGGGAGAAGCTTTCGACGTCTTTCGCCGTGCTTTAAATTAAGGTGCTTCGTACTCAGAATAGCCTTATCCCCAACAGAGAACACTTTCTCCGTACGATGCTGACGGTCTGCCAAACTTTTCTGTCTCTGTTCAGCTGCAATCAGACACTGGCGTGCAAAGGTGAGAGCAGACTGCCAACGCTCAACGAAAGCTTCAGACTTTGGGTGCCCAACCTCAAGCTTTTCACCCAGTGGAGTCCGTGGCTGAAAACCGAGGTTTAGGTAAAACGGTGTCTGATCTACAGAAGAGTGAAACGCGGAGTTATGGGCAAACTCTGCTCGTGACAACAGTATCCCAATCATTTGGCTCAAAAGAGACAAAATGACGTAAATACGTTTCCAGCGCTTGTGTTTGAATCACTCGTTCCGACTGACCGTCAGTTTGTGGATGGAAAGAGGAAGACATAACGTGCCTAGTACCAATAAGCTCCGTTACTCCCTTCCAAAACGCACTCGTGAACCGAGTATCACGATCTGTAATAAAGTCCTTGCTCAGACCGTGAAACTTCCAAATCTGAACAATATAGAGCTTTGTTCTTCGCAGACGAGTCTTCTCGGCAAGCTACGAAATGCACCATTTTCGTCAACTTGTCGACAAAGACACTAACACTGTCATTCCCTCGTTCCGTCTTGGGCAACTTAACAATAAAGTCAAACGTGCCAGTTTCCCAAGCTTTATCTGGAACAGGAAGAGGCTGCAATGCAGCAAAGGGCCTGTGGCAACGGGACTTATTTCTTTGGCACAAAACACAGCAGGAGACATATTTGATTACATCCTCAGAGATGTCCACCAAAACAAACGAGCAACTGCCTTTCTGGTCGTCTCTATTCCATAGTGTCCCGAGTAAGGCGTATCATGATACTTTGCGACAATTTGCCTTCTCAGATCAACGTCGTCTGGGAAAACTATAAGAGAATTCCTTTTTAAGACAAGACCTCGCCAGGTGGTACTCAGCTGGTTTGAGTCCGCCCTGTTTGCATCTTGCTGAAATTTCTCAGACAACTCCCGACTACTGATAATCAGC